TCCCTGGAATCTACGGATGTTTGACGAATTTTGGTAAATTTTTATCAGTTATTTGATAGGCATCAAACTACCGTAATGACTTCATGTATGTTTTTGAATGTCGAAATTCCAAAACCAATTTTTTATTAAAACAACGAGAAACAAAGAGTATGCAATGTAACCACAACTAAATTATTTTCAAATCCGTTTTACATTTAATATTATTAAAAAAAAAAAAAAAAAAAAAAAAACACACACAAAAAACACCGTATTACATTACAATACCATCCTCCCATCCTGGCGAAATCCAGCTTTTTAATAATCCATGTGATTGTGAATTATTAACAACTAAATTATGAATACAGTAAGAATAATGTCTTACTTTACACTGCTCTTACCACGTGTACATAAAGATAAAAATAGAATAAGATAAAAATAGAATAAAGATAAAAATAGAAATACCGGATCAAATCAGTTCCAGCAGATGATGATTTGAGCCTATATACACGTTGGAAATTGAGGGGTTAATTATTTAGATTAAATTAAGAAAACAAGTTGGTTGTTTTTTTTTTATGATCGGTGTATGTGTGTCATTCAACATAAGCAATACATGTAACAAAATGATGTAATCATTATAATGCAATTAATCAATTATTGAATGACTATGAGGTAATACTTTAATTATTTACTGTTAATGATAATAATATGTAAATTTTCAATTACTATAACATAGAAAGCTTTATATACATTATTTGTCTTTCCTCCGGTCTTGGGGCCTGAAAGTAATAATTATTACTATATTAAAATACATGATTACTTGAATTGCATTAAACAAACGCAGTTCAATGAAATCTCATTTAGTGAGTGTCCCTGTCATTTAAACGTTCATGCCCTCTGATAAATACAGTAGATTGAAACCGGTGAAATAGACAACCAGAGAAATTACAAATTCCTTAAAAGTAATAAGTCCTACAAAATAGCTTGTTGCCGCTTGATGGCATCTGCTCGAACTGACTTGATCCGGTATTTCTATCCTTATGTACGTGTAGTACGAGTTACGTGTTGAACGTGTAGAACGCGTATTATTTGACACATTTTGTACCACCGAGTACGTACGTGTAATTGTGGTATATTTATATGACAGAGTTAAACCGATTTATCTTATCTATGTGAATAGAAATAAAACATCACAGAAATTTACGTAAGATAAAAAAAACTAGGTATGAAGCATATTGATGGTTTGACTACATCATAAATTGGTTGTTAACGTCTGAAGTAGCTTACTTTGCCATTTATTTTATATTTCATTTACAATTATTTTTTCACATTTGTACGAAAAGTGGGGTTTCAGGCACCGATGAGCTCCTGGTTACGTTACGCCATTAAGAGGTGGTTTGAAATAATTATAATTAATCATTAAGATAACAGATTGACGTTGGTTGTGATGGTGATGATGATAGTGATGGTAATGATAAGTTTGATGGTATTCCTTGCATCGTTTGTGAATGTTTTATAGCTTTGTATTTTTTTTTTTTTTGGTTTTGTTTTGTTTTTGGAAGTTTTACTTTTCCATGTTTGATAATCGTGTTCGCCTTTGCCGTTCGATATTTTATTGGTTTAGCTATATGAAATCTTTTGATGTTGTTGTGTTTTTGTGCTAGTTTGATGATTCATTTTTGTATTAAGTTAGTTTTTCTTTGACCATGAAATAAAAACAATCAAAATCTATATTTTGTATATAATTGTAATTTTATTTTCAAAAACTCTTTGTGGTTTTAGTTGGCTGTCTTCACATCCCGCAAGGCAAGTGCACCGGCGTTTTGCCCTATATAACAACGTTCATTCCAAACAATCACGTTGATTCCTTTAAGACAGCTGAGAATTACTTAGAAGAAATTAGTGGTTTTCTAGATTGTGATACGCATGCTCTGTATGTAGTATGTTCTTGGCTATATCCTCCATGCATTACCGACACAATTCAAGTAGTGCCTTGTAAAGCTATCTGCGAAGGCGTGGTTAACGGTTGCCAGGAAATCTTTAATATCACAGCCATTGGAGCACAGATTTCTTGTGAATATTCACCTGCAGGTGAAACTAATGAAATGGTTTGTAAAAGTAAGTACAGTATTGCACATCATTTTCAGTCACCCTATAGAAAGATAAAGTTCTATTTCTCTACGATACTACGAATAGTAACATTGATTGCGATGTCAACACGTATAATTATTATAAATTATTTTATCTGATGTTAACCAAACATAAAAACTTACTGCGTTAATAGGTTTGTATTTTCGCTCTTTGATTGGAATTGAAATAAAGTAGTAGTATGATTAATATGACGGTATGCCATAAAAATAGAGGCATGGCATATCGGCATATTTTTTTTGAATAATTAATTTGTGATTATTTATATTTTTAATATAGGCTGCTCATATAACGTCTACCTAAACGTCGGGGAAGTTTTTCAATTCACGTCTCCAAACTATCCTCTGGCTTTTTTTCCTAACACTTATTGCGTATGGCTGATAACATCTCCGCCGTTTACCAAAATAAAATTCAACATAACCAATGTCGATCTCGATTATGGTAATCTAAAAATCACATTTGGACAGAATCCTTATGAATCCTTATTTCGTTTGGGATTTTCTGATACGGTTGTCACGGATGACATCGAATTTTTCACATATTTAAACTTGGCGTCTGTGATTTTCAAAAGTCCAAACAAAGTCAACGAAAAAAAAGGATTCACTGCTGTTGTTAGAGCTATCGATATTAAAGGTAAGGTAAAAATTTGTCGTTTTATTAACGCTTTTACTTCAATTTATAACTTATACTTAAAATCACTATTATACAAACTGTTCAATATCGTACATTTCCAACTCTGATGTAGTTTAGCCAGAGGGAGTGTATTAGTTGCGATTTGAATCAGTTTAGATATTCATTTCCTTTCAAATTCAAACTTTTATTTCAATAATACATAATTCCACTTCTTCTATATCAAAATGACACGTGACCTATCATTAAAAAATAAGTTCTGTTTCATTCAGACCAGTTGATTAGTTTTTGAAATATGTGGTCTGGGATATATATTTTTTTAATGATCCTCATATCCACACCCTACCCCCCCCCCCGGATCGTCACCAAGATTTTATCATTTCTTCATTGTAGCATGACAAACTATTAGGAAGCTTCGTTTTGTCCCATCAATTAGGTTTTTGAGATATTTAGGTCTGGTACGTCAGAAATTTAAATGACCCTCAAATTTACACCCTAAACTGGATCATTACCAACACGGAATAGTTTTTTTCTTGTGATTTGGTTAAACTTTCCAACAAGTTGTATTTAGATCAGTTGACCAGTTTTTAAAATATCTGGTGTAGAGTGTTTGCCCTTAAATCCCTTTAATTGGTCGTCACATCCACACCGCACTTTAGATTGACACTAAATATTAGGAGGCATATCCTTGATATTTGGTCTATGCTTCGACAGAATTTAGAAAAGATCCAACCATTGTATAGGAGTGGTTGGCGCACCGGTTGTGGCTTGGACTCCCAAACTTGAGGTCGGGGGGTTCGAAACTCTGGCTGTGCAAATCGCCTGTGTCCTTGGGCAAGGCACTTTATTTACGGTTGCCTCTCTCCACCTGGTAGGGTCAAGTGGTCAAGTGGTCAAGTGGGTACCTGGTAGGTTCCAACACAACCTGCGCTGATTACTAGCTGCAATTTATGGAATGATAATATAATTTCATTTACTAATTTAATTTGGTGTTTCAATGTGTTCCATATGTGTTTGATCCAATGACCGGGGTAGTAATGTGAAGCGTTTAGAGGCCTTGTAAAGGCACGAAGCGCTATATAAGAACGATATATTATTATTATTATTATTATTAAAAGTGACCAAAGTTCCGGGCGGAATAACCCAGTGCAAAAAGATACTGTAGGAAAAAAGTATGTAAAATAATAATTAAAAAAAAAAAACCTAACAAAAACAACTGCTACTGTTTTGAAAAGCAAAAAAAGATAAGAAAATAAAACGGGAAAAAATTAATGCTGGTTGTCTAATAGGAGCCAATGAAAGTCGTAAAAAACAACTTGTTTCCAATGAGGTTACTTTTTTTAAATTCTCATAATTTGAAAAATACATAGGATGTTAAGTTTTTCCTTTCCGTCAAATTATGGTAAGCTTCTTAACCGCAGTGGGAGGTCTCTTCGACGGGGCCCTACCCTTCCCAGCTTTTCACTGGCGCCACCATTTCTCGTAGGTCTATTAATTAAATATTAATAAATTAATGGTCTGCTTATTAATAATTTCAGATGCTTTATATTGTGATACACATAAAACTCCCAAGAGTTTACACGAAGATGAACTTTGCGATGGCCAAGAAAATTGCAAAGACATTGGAGAAGATGAGCACATGTGTCGTAAGTGGGGTATTGTAAATATTTAGTAGAAAATTATCTACATTGTTGAACCAATTAGTTGCTTACCTTAGCAACGGTTTCAACAACTGCTTCGGTCACTTTCTTCAAGCTAATGTATTAATTGGATCATTCACTTTTCAATGAGTGAGGTCATTATAATGTGATTTAGTTATGGCCACCTTGATCAATCTTACGGATCCGAACTGCTTCTTTGACTTTTCTGGATTTCCTGTGTTGTCCTTTGTCTAGAATGTTGCATTTTTTTTTCCAGTTTGGTGTAGGCTTATTTATTTATTTATTCAACTTTCTTTTATGAGGGTAGCTCTTACAGCAATGCTGACTCAAAGAGGCCCTCATAACAAATACAAAACATACAGTATAACAAAACAAATACAGTAATACATGTAAAATATATAAAGCACAATTATAAAATAGATTTTTGTTAAAAATTTTTAAAAACAATTGCATAAACAAGATATAAAATTTCTATTTCAATAAAAGCAGTCATTAAGATGATTTTAGTACTATTTTCAGTTTATTTTTAAAAGAACAAAATGTATTGCAATTTCGTATGTCATTAGGAAGTGAATTAAGATAGGAAGGACCTTTATAGATAAAACTACTTTTAAACATTTCAGTTCTCGGTTTGGGCAAATTATAATGACCAGCAGTATCTGCTCTAGTAGAAGTATTCCTGCTTTGAACTTTCGTAAAAAGTTTGCAGAGGTAGTCTGGTCCGACACCAGAAGCAGACCTGTATGCTAGGCAGCCAAGTTGTAAATTGATTCGTTGAATGACGTTGTGAATATTGAGTGTTGTGAAAAGGGTGGCTGATGATGTGAAAGGGTGAGTTTTCAATACAATACGAAGTGCTTTATTTTGAAGAGTTTGAATTTTGTTGATATTAGTTATGGACCTGGCTCCCCAAACGCTACAACAGTAATCAATATGGGGAAGAAAAATGGTGTTGTAAATAAGAAGTGCTGTGCGGGTGTCAATGAATCTCCGTACTCGTGCCAGGAGAGTTGTAGAGAGACCGAGTTTTGAATGGAGGCTACTTATGTGCGAGTTCCATGTAAGTTTGTCGTCAATTATTAAACCAAGGTGTTTATGTGTATGTACTTGTTTGAGTTGAGTGCCATTAATGTGCGTCTTAAGAGTGTTATTGCGACGCATTTGTGGGCTGTGTCAAATAAGCATAGATTATGTTTTGTTGGTGTTGATGAGAAGTTTGTTTGCAGTAAAACCATTTGGTGAGATTTATAAGATCATCATTTAACTTTTGTTCAATGTTAGAGATGGAAGGACCCGAGACGTAAATAATAGTATCGTCAGCGTACATATCAACCGAAGAGTGAGCGAGTGACAAAGGGAGATCATTGATGAAAATGGTAAAAAGAAGGGGCCAAATTATTGATCCTTGTGGAATACCCATTTTAGTTCGTCTGGAGGAGGATGAGGTGGAGTTAATAATCACTTTTTGGGATCTGTTAGAAAGGTATGAGGAGAACCATCGAATAGATAGAGGAGAAAAACCATAATAAGAAAGTTTATTAAGTAAAATATCATGATGAACTAAATCAAAAGCCTTACGCAGGTCAATGAAAATAGAGCCCGTAAGGTGTCCTTTGTCGATGTTGAAAAGCCAGTTATTGAGTGTATTGGTTACTGCTGTAAGCGTGGAGAAGCCAGGTCTAAATCCAGATTGATTAGGGCAGTGATAGAGTTGAGTGTGGACTGCCTTTTCAATGATCTTAGAGGATATAGGGAGGATAGAAATGGGACGATAGTTATTGAGGTCAGAAGTGTTGCCACCCTTGTGAATTGGGGTGACAGCAGCTTCTTTCCAACAGTCAGGGAATGTGCCTGTAGAGAGTGATAGATTGAAATGCCCTGTTCTAACACTTTGTGTGTGCTTTTCATCATTGGTTCTGTGTTCTTTCACGTCTTCTTGTTTAAAGTTTCATTCAAGTTTCTCCTATTTGCTTACAGTTATGGAAACAAATTTGGTAGACAACTCCACATTGGTTTTCAGGGGCAGATGCAGGATGTCGTATTGGGCCCAAAAGCATCGAGCCGGGGAGGGGGGGGGGGGTAGGTATGGGGGGGGGGGGGGGGGGGGTAGGTATGGTAGTGGGAATAAGGGCCCAAACAAGGTGCAAAGCAACAGGCGGAGGGTGGTATGGTAGGGGGAATCATTTTCCGATCGTTCGAAATTCAAAAACAAAAGACCCCTAAATGCTCTTCTAAAGGCATCTATATTGACTACATAATGAAGTTATATTTAGAAGGGACCAATCATTGTTAGTGGCCCGACCTCCCTATCTATAGGCTATAGTCTGACCATTGTCCGACCATTCTTCATAAAAGTTTTACTAATTGTTGGGTTTTCATCATGTTATTGAGTCTACTGTTAATCTATCTTTGAGATACAATGCAGACATATTTCCGACAGCATTTCGCATTTGATCTATATTGCCGTGATTCGGAAGAATGCATTATATAAGCCAAAATCATAGTTTTAAGATATTGAGCAAAACGCGTTTCTTGTTAGCCTTTTGTTATGGAAATCAATTGTATTGAATTTTTTGTGTAAATGTACTAACTACACAACAGAAAAACATACTGAAATACCTTTTTTATATATTTTTTCTATAACCCAGTCAAAATGGACATAATGCGCTTTTCCAAAATAAAACAAAAGCCAATAAGGCGTGAAAAATCTGATGTTAGGCATTATATCCAGTTTTGCAAGCAGAATGCATGCATTATTCTTTACTTAAGGACTAATGAAAAATAAAAAAATAAAGTGAATTTTCAACAAGACTTTAGAGGTTTAAATTCCATTATGTTTAAATAACTTAAAACAAAACAAAATAGAAAGTTTTTTAAGGGTTTTTGTTTATATTATTTAGCAACATTATCGCATTCACTCTCATAAAATATTTACAAAAAGTGTCTGATCTGATTTTACTAATTGTTGTATTTCCTCTAAAATATGGTATAGTACAAGTAAAATTTAAATTAAATACTATCATTAACCACTACAGAAAGAAGAAGCAAAACACTGTTAGTAAGTTTTTACAACATAAATAATCAGTTTATTTAAATTCACTATGAAGAATACCCGCCGTTCAATGTAAACAAAAAATAAATACCCAAATTCTAAACACACTTCTTCAGACCCATTTATACATTTCTGTTTCCTTAAATTATAAGGAAGTGTACTAATTTAAATATAGCTAAATATTTTAAATGTAAATTTAGCATAGGTATTACATCTAAATTCCAAGCATTGGCTTAATTGGAAAGTCTATAGTAAAACATTTTTAGGTTCGATATGTATATGTATTTTATTTTGTTTGTTAAATGGTCTTAGTTACAATAATAATTATTAACGTTACAGACTAAAATTTATATTATGTCCACAATTTGGTCATGGTCATATTGCAATTTATTCTTTAAAAGATGAAGAACAATGCTTTCTTCTTTTATTTATTGTACTCTGATCAAAAACAAACTTGGTTTTATACTCTATTATGCCCTTCCACCAGCTAGGAAACTAATTAAATATGCATCATTATCTTCTGTGATTGGGTGATTGCTCACTCTTCAATGCTTGGTGGATATAATGCACTCTTCCCGATTTTTTTGCTTTGGTAGATGGATATAATGCGTAACTCTCGTATTAATTTCATATTCATAAACATTTTTTGGGGTATATGATCAATTCACATGATAAATTACATCCATAGGATCCCCTAAGCCAAAAATCTCTAAATTTTCAAAAATGGATATAATGCGTTCTTCCGAATCACGGCAGTATAGTCATTGTTTGTTGCACATACTGTATTTCCCATGTAAAGATAATTTTGTTAGTCATATAGCACGCGCTAACACGTTCTAACCGTGATGCCGTGATACAGTATTTAAACTATTATTCACTCGCGAAAAGACAGCCTTCGGCAGCCTTTTGCTAGGCTGCGAGGTAATGGGACCAGGTTATTTGCAAAATGAACGAAATAAGTTTTAATGAAGGAATGAATTAAATAAGTTTAAAGTCATGCTCAGAGGGAAAAAAATGTTGATATGTTGTAGAACTGATTCTTTTTATAAGAGAGAAAAAAGTTGTTTGACTAAAATCTGGGGAACGGTGAATAAGATGCAGATTTTTGAATATTCAAAACCTGGGTGAAGAGGGGCGTAACCGCCCATTTTTACACCTTTTCCCCCAGAAAATAGTCATTGTGTGAAGCCCAGCCGGCCAAATACTGCAAGTATTGCCATAAAAGAATATTCTAAAGCATAATATTAAATGCTGCCCCGTCCTTAACTTTAATTTTAGAAAGACATTTGCAAATAAAAAAAGTCAAATTACTCCTATTAAGAAAATTAAGATCATGAGCAAATTATAATTTTGTTTATAATGTTAAAGCCGGTAAGATACTACGCCTATGCCTATTGGTAAATATGGTTAATGATAGATTAGGCCTATACATGATAAAATGTTGTGATGGATGTAGTCTGTAGATATTCCTTATTTGTCACATATTGACTTATTTTAGCGATTAGCATGGTTATTTTATTAGTAAGTCTATTAAACCTTGATTTTCAAAGGTTTTTTCTAAAATTACAGTTAAAGGCGATTCAGTATTCAATATTATGTTTTAGAACGTTCTGTTTTGGCAATCAAGGGCGTCGATAAAAGTGGGGTGGGGTGGGGAAAGAAATCCAAAATAAGAAAGCCTTGGGCCGTAGGCCCAAACTTTGGTTGGGGTGAGAGAGTGGCCTATGTCCCCGATGGGGGTCCAGGGGCGAATTAAGGCCCCGCGGAAGCTCTGGCGCCTTAAGTCTTTAATAAGCCGTAGGCCTATCTAATTGAATTTGAGGAATGCAATTAACATTCATTTCCACATTACATTTTCAAAATACAGTGGCGGATCCAGAAATTTGGAATAGAGGGGCCCCAGGCAGTGGCGGCTCTAGGATATAGTCTATGGGGGGAGGGATAATATGCCCGACTGGAGGGGGCGCTAAGTATGTTTGGGTGTAACTATAGCGCGCAGTGCTATCTGAGGGCCGAAGGCCAGAGCCAGGGGTGTGTATGGGAGGGGGGTGTCCCATCCTCCCAGAATGATATTAAAAAAAAAAACTGGAACTTCTAGATGGCCGGAAATGGCTAGGATGGGAAAACTAGGCCAAAAAACCAAAATATTTTGGGGGGTCCGTCTACCCGACGAGCTTAGGCCGATGGGGGGGGGGCTTGACCAGACCGATGGGGCGGGGCTTAAGCCCCTGCCCCCCGCTGGCGCCGCCACTGGGCCAAGGTGGGCGATACAAATTGAGAACGTAGACCACCACAGCCTCAACCATGGTAAGAAATTTTATGATTATGGCACAATTAGTTGGGCGGAAATAGTACTCTCAGACTAAATTTTAATATAACCTTCTTTTTTCTCTACTTTTAAATTTTGAAAAAAAATAGGGAGGATGGGTCACCTGGCCCCTTGAATCTGCCATTGAAATACTCATCATAAAAAGTTTTTCGAATTATTCAGGTAATCATAATTATTTCCGCTTACATATTTCGTGCAAACTAACATTCATAAAAATAAATCATTATCTAGTGATGTGCTTTTGACGTATTCGAACCATGAAAAACAAATAAGATAATCTTAAAACAGTCACTAATTTAGTCTCTTCATGTACAGTAAAATCAATCAAGAGGTTTTTCTCTTTTTACTCTTTTTGAATTTCACTTTTAAATAAGTAGTATTGCGAAAACACCATTGTGAGTGGAAATACTATCGTCTAATTTACGATCAAACATAAGGGTGATCTACTTAATTAATCATTATCAGTGGCGGATCCAGGAAAGCGAAATGAAGGAAAACAGGGAGGGACTTTAACAATTTGGGAAAGTAGACCATCACCTCAGCCCCACCATGGATAGGGCTGAGGTAAGAAAATTTATGATTATGACACCTCTATGGCCAGAAATGGCACTCTCATACCTAATTTAGAGGTGGTTAGTTAGCTTGCCCCTCCCCCACTTAATCCGCCACTGATTATCAAAACTTCATAGGAGATTGCGTCAACGTAACATTGGAGTTTATAAACTTGTGGTACCACTACTTAAATAAATCGAAATATATAGACCTGTCCGTGTCAGACGCTGCCTAATTATTTTTGATAACCGCTTTATAAATTTCAATTGACTAATTATAATTAGTTTCGAAATTAGGAAAAAAGGAATCTATGTATACAGATATTAAACACTAGTATATAGGCTATATACCAGTGTTTATGGGTCATAAGAATATACAAAATGAACAAATCGTTTATAGTAGAAATTGTGCACTTTGGATTTTGTAAAAATATTGGCCTAATAAGTTTACACGCTTCTAATTTTAACAACGGTGGTTTCTGAGATGGATAGGATGCGATGGTAAATGACGTCCGTCCTTCCACAGCAGGGGTGGATTTAGGGCAGCTTGCCCCCCCCCCTTTTTTTTTTAGAAAGTAAGAAAAAGGAAAAAAAGAGGAAGAAAAAAATGGATCGCCCAAAACGCCTCAGAGGTTATTTTCGGGCGTCTATAAAACAAAATTATCTTGCGCCCCACCTCCCTTTTTCGGACATCTCTGAATCCGCCCCTGTGGAGTGCTTTTTTTTTTTGGTTGGTAAAAAAGTGTAAATAGTAAGCAGCATTTTTCTTCTGTAGGGGTGGGGGAGGGTCATTCATGAGAATAGTGTTCGGGTTAGTAATATTATTGTTGGCTTTTAAATCGCTCAAAAGATGGGAGGTGACAAGACAAAAGACGGTTCCCCAAGTCATTTAAACTTATTTCATTCATTCTTTCATTAATACTGCAAATATCCGAGTGCCACCTGCAAATAATCTGGACCCGCCCCAACACCTCACAGCCTCGCGAAAGGCAGCCTTTTCGCGAGTGATGTTAATGCAGGTAAGAAAGGCATACTGGTAAATACCGTAATATGGTAAAAAATGGATTAACAATTACATGCTAAAAATTGATGGATGTAGACATTCCTTATTCGTATGGTATTGACTTATTTTAGTAGTCAGGAGTTTATAATATTTTGATTCCATTTTTTAGTGAACATATACATGTTTGTATTAGCCACGGATACTGAAGTGGTACGTTCCACTTGCCTATACGCTGTTGCTCCTTTTGCTGTACTAACTTAATTTGAATAATGAATTCCCACACATGTGTTGCGTTTAAGAAAGTATAATACATACTCCAAGTATTGAAATACACGCCATCGTGTTGGGATTAATATTTCGACATTAATTATGTCATCATCAGGTTGCGTTTGTTGTGTGACCATCCTCGTCCAATATTTTGTAGATTCGTAAAATTATATTTTTTAAATGATATTTTAATAGACATAAATAGGAGCTCAAAATATACCAGTAATAGTAAGATATTGAAAAGAAATGCTACGATATATTTCTTTTCTTTACTTATTTCAGGAACTGAATGTGGATATACTGTCTTGTTAGTTAACGAAAATAGTGTCGAATTGGTATCATCTACGAATCACTCCAGTACATTCGAACAGTGTATATACACATTCACATGCCCAACCCGAACTAAATTGAGGATGGAATTTCTGAGCTTAAAAGGCGCCATAAGCGGATGCAACTTTAAAATGGGTACAGGAACAAATCCATTCAATACGACTAGCGAATTGACAACCTTACCTCGGATATCTACTAGAATTGATTTTCCCGAAAACAATGCTTGGATATGGTTCGCACAAACTTCAGAGAACACTAGCTTTGTGGTTCGGTTGAGTTCATTTATTGGTAATAATGCTTCAGATTCCTTTGAAAAAATTATCTTGTATTGCTTATTATGTTGTCCTTTAGTCAAATGAATAAACGAAAAGATATCACCTAATTGAGGTGAATAGTCTTTATTATTATTATTATTATTATTATTATTATTATTATTATTATTATTATTATTATTTCAATTTACCTATAAATTAAAATAATATTTACGATTATTTCTGCCGTAAATGTGTTTTTGTTTTATATTTGTAATACTTGCAAATGGTAATGTAAATTAGGTATTTTTCCTTTTTTTTATTACTACAGAGAGCAAAATTATTAACATCGCGGCTAATGAATCATATATCATAGACAATAATTCACATTCGATCAACTCGTGGCTTGAATACGGCTGTTTAGTTTTCAAGTCTTCGCCTGGTTATCATTTCAAGTTGACGTTTTTGAATGATATCTTGGACTTAGGAAAGACGCCTGAATTATATTACCCAAAATATAACCAGATAGCTTTTGGTTTAGGATCGGACCCATTGAAGTACAATGTATTCATATTAGAATCTAAATACGACGACATGTTGGAGCTGTACACGGATGCTATTTGGTTGAAAATGGACGGAAATGGGCCGTATGCTATTGGAATCATTATTTCAACTATACCTACAAGAAAAGGTAACTATGGCTGGTGTAAGGAAAAAATGGCCCCGGTAAAAATAGCCCCAAATGACAGGTAGGTAAAAATGGCCATAAATGACAGGTAGGTAAAAATGGCCCCAATAATAAAATTCTGTATTAAAACTGATTTTTTTAATCATTATATGCATTTTTTTAAACTAAAATAATTTAGTTTTTCGAAGGAATCTAACATCAAATTTACATTTTACTTTTTGCAGAAATTACATGTTCAATGATAAAATATTCCAAGATTTAAAAAAAGCCATGAATAACACTTTTTATTTTTTTCCCATTTAAATGTTAAAAAATAGCAACAACATAATTAATAAATCAACATAAATCATGCATTTATTAATAATAAAATAATTTATTTGTGGCCAATTTCAAGGAAGCGGAATCACGATTTTCCTGAAATTCAATCCGGGCATTGGAAAGCCCCATAAACAATGATTTTATATGAACATCAAATTATTATTTTCTTTTTTAGAAAAAGAGAGATCTACAATCATAATTAAAAGGTTTGGATGGGGTTCGCAGTGTGTTTGGATGTTTGTGGTGTATTTGCAAGTATTTTTCACAAAAAATCAACATTTTAACCAAAAAATAGGTTCTTATGAATATTTAATTTTCTTATTGATATAGCAAGTGAGTCAATCACATCTGAATTGTTTGGTTTTCTACAGTGTGTTTTGGAAGGTTTTGGGTATTTAGCAATACCATTTGATCCTACCATAATTACCTTACCCTCACCATAGAGGAAATAGAACAAATTATACGCCATTTTAATTCTTAGCATAATTTCCATATTTACATAACTATGTATATAATATAGTATCTCAGTTTACATTATTTAGTATAGTTTTAGACACTTAAATTTAGTTGGCGGGGAGTAGAAACCAAGTATGCAATTAAATAAGTTGCTTAAATAAATGTATTCCTAATTATTCAGTTTACTTTAAAAACAATATTTGATTAACAAATAGTAACTCCAAGCAGAACATCTATTGAAGTAAAGTAAGCCTCTCCCTTTTCCCATACATGAACTTGTCATTCAAACACACAATTGATCCACATGCTTTAACTACTGTTTATTTGCACTAACATGTAAAGTTATTTCATTTGACAAAAAGTGAATTTTGTGGTTATCTATGAGTTGCATATTTTGGTAGTTGAAGTACTGTATGTATGTCATTCCTCTACATTGTTAGTGGAATAATGTTATTAAAACTTATTTCTACTATCAAAAAATGTTCAATGGCCATTGTTTTCTGATAATCTCTCAGTACATTATTTGCATATGTTGTGTAACTGTATTTGTTATTGATTCAATTCTTGCTTATTACACAGTATTTAAATATTTGAAGATTTTAAAAAAAAAATCATTTTTATTACTGAATTTTTTCATTGGGGCCATTTTTACCTACTTGTCATTTGGGGCCATTACCGGGGCATTTTTACTGGGGCCATTTTTTTCTGGGCCATTTTTTCCTGGGCCATTTTTACCGGGGCCATTTTTACCTACATTCTACATATGGCTACTATCTTAGAGAAAATTATAATAATGTACGTCAATTGAAACGAGATGGCGCCAGCGGATGGGCGAGCTGGGTTCAGGCTCGGTCGTCGGAAATCATGGTAAATCTGCTTGGAAAATTAATTATTGGATACAGAGCGCCTGAGAGTGCCAAGTGTTTTTTTTTTCTCAGTCCCAATGGGGCTGATGTGGTTCTGACCCATCTATCAGAGAACGATAGACCACTTGTCAAGAAAATTCTGGCCTCCAAGTGACTCTGAATTGAAAAATGTTGGCTATGTATCATATTCATAGCCGAAAGGTCCACTGATTAATCTCAGATGAGATAGTATAATACATACTCCAAGTATCGAAATGCACGCCTTCATGATTCCTGATGATGACATAATTAATGTCGAAGTATTGAATCCCGACACGATGGCGTGCATATCCACAGCCTGTTCTAGGATTATTATCAACATTAATTTTAATGTAGGCCTATTTATTAATTAATAATTATTATTATTATCATTATTATTATTAGTAGTATAATATTTAAAAAAATGAAATTATAGATAAAATGAAGAACCAACAATGAGTGATAAACGTTGCGATCACATTCTACTCAAATCTTCCAGATTATAGAAGACATATACTTGTTGACGATGTTGCAACAATAACATATTCATCGTCAGAGATTGATGATGTTCAAGAAAATAGTAATGTCACTACCACAGTATGGATTGTCACCTCTTTAAGACACCCGAACATTGCAGTGAAATTTATCAACTTCTCTTATGGAACATCTGAATTTAATTTTATTACTATTGGATACGGTCTCAATCCCGAATTGTCGTCCTCAATCCTTTACCACGGTATTGCTCTAGATTTCAAAAGAACGCTTCCCGATGATTTCATCATCCACTATTCAACATTCTGGGTTCGACATACCTCATACCGACGAATAAATGATACAAGTTTTTCTCTTGAGCTTCGAAGCCTACCAAATACAGGTACTTTTCTCTTGTTATTGTTCATATTAAGCCAAACCTCTTTCTGGAATAGTTGTGGACCAACTTATAAACACAGGCCATACTAAAAGAAAAAAACAACACGGAAGTAGTTACCACTCAGTTTTATTACAAAATAACTTTAATGTATGTTTAATGTTTTATCGTCAATGTGCTTGTTTGGGCAGATATGGTTCTTTTTGTCTAACATTCCTCTTCATGTTTTTATTTTCTTATGTTAAATTAGAGAAATATATTAACTACTTGTTTAGAAATAACATTTGATATTCAAAATGATAACATCTATTTAGATCCTAAGATAGTAAGATTAATATATTTTATTTCTGAAAATTAAGAGAAATAAGAAATAAAAGAAATCATGTTTTTTATTAGCCTACTTTAGTCATTAAATGGCAAAATGTTTGGCTTTGCTTTGAATTAATTGGTTGATTTGGTGGACGCAATTTTCCCGGAGCGGCACACTCAACGGAAAATGTGTAGAGCACGTGTAGGTGTACTATCACTGATGGTGGAGGGGATAGTTCGACACTGCAGTTTCCCTATAATTTTATCCACCCAAAGCTTGTATTTCTTATTAGAATCGATTAGAAAACTACAACTCGTGCAAACAATTTACAATCATTTCGACAAGTTCAAAAGCCTCTGCTCCCTGATGAGCTGTGGGATTGGCCCAGGAAGTGTACCTTTCAGGGTCCCACCTAGGTTAACAAGCATGATGTTTTTATTACTTTACTTGTAAAAAATAAAGAATCTACTTTTAACAGTGCTGCACATTACAGTGCTCCTGCTTGATGAGGATCAGTAGTGGAAATTAATGCTAACTGATGGAAATAGCTCTTGTAAATCATTGTATTATTTAATTTGGTTTCAGATAATTTATTATGCCCTACAAAGTTCGGCGTAACTAAAGAAGATACCTGTGACGATGAGTTTGATTGTCCTGATCTTAGAGACGAAATTGACTGCACGGATGCAGGTAAACATGCTTTTGCCAACTATAATCTCGTACATAAACTGCATCTGCACAAACATAATATAGATTAGATATGGGTGGATT